GTATTTCTAGATATGCTACTAGCACCGACTTCATAAAAAGATTTGTTCACATTATTCTATCAAGAATTCTTGTAATTCAAAAAGAAGAAACTATGCTTATAACTTGTTTTTTATTCTTGACGAAACTACTCATTAAAACTCAGTATTGTAGCTGAAAATTCACGAGAAGGTTTTTACTTGTTAACAAAAAACAAAAAAATACAAGTTCATCCAGAAAACACAATAAAGAACATGTACACATTAGACCATTTTTTTGTGATTACGATTTCTTAAATTATTTTTTCGTTGCATAAAGAATAAACCAGAAAACTTGATTCGATACTTGTAAAATTTGTCTTTATGATGAAAAGATACAGTAAAACACACTCTACAATATGATTTTTTATTCACTTCACTATTTCATGTAGTGAGAATTGAAATGAGAATGCAACGTAACTCGTTCGTAAAGTCTCAGAGGACAAATTCTTTGTGTAAAATTGAAGATATGTCTTGTCAAGATTCTTTTGTTGAATTACAAATAAATAAACTATCTGATAAAATTCTCAAGCAAGGTCGAGCTTAGTTATGGTAACTTCTTCATTTCCATTAAAAAGCCACATTTTTTCTTTATTGTTAGAAGGTTTTACTTCAACAAATTCTTTTAAACTTTCAGTAAAAAAGATAGAACATTCAATGAAACAAAAATAAATCAAAGTATTTATAAAATCTTCTTTTCAATTCACATATGTAACATGACAGAATAATGAAAAAGAAAAGAAATTACAGAAACTAATAAGACACTACCATCAACTATACTTTCTTAAAGATGATTGAAACTTTCATTTATTTTGTATCATGATATGACCATTGCTTATACTATTGTGATTTCTATGACTATATAATGATGAAAAATGACTCGTATAGAAATTTGAATAATGTAATTTTTTTTCTTAGTCTTTTTGAATTTATGACATTTATTTTCCACATAGTTATTTCTCAACAGGTACTTTGTAGAAAATCTTGATCAACTGACAAATAAATATATTGAAATTAGATTCAAATAGCATCCTCACATTTCAAGATTCGGGTATTTTTATGATTTTAAAGAGATACGTATATATTAACAGTTATTTGAATGTTAAGTTAATAGAGAAGCACAGTTATCAAGTCGAATTACCAAATCATTTTTACATCTTATTTTTCGCGTAATTATTTATGAATGATATCAATTTATTATTTAAACTTTAAATTAAAAAAAAAGAACATGATTTTATTTTATTATTATTATCTATGAGCACAAACCATAAAATTTGGTTGATTATAATAAAAGTCGATTGTTTTATCAGTACATGCTCCTCCTCCAGTTGAACCAACATGTGGACAATGTATAGATGGTAATAAAGGTACAAAATATGTATGAATAAAACGGCAAATAACATTTCCTTGATCTCCTCTTGGGTGTGGGCATGAGTGCTCCTTTGTAACTAGCACCCACACCCCAAAATTTCAATATCTTCATCACTCTTCAACTAAATCAGCTGATTTTTTTTTTCTTAGGATAGACCACAGATTGAAGTTCTTATTCATGTTGAAACAATCCATATATACATATGAAATTAGCAAACTGTTCTTTTTTTCTTATATTTATTTGTTAATAAATGTCAAATATAAAATAATCAAAAAAAAAAAGAAAAAGTCAATATTCTTCAATTTTTTGTCGATCTTTTTCAATTTGTAAAACTTTTTTGTTAAACAATTTGAATTTGAATCATCGGAAAATGTTCCTTAAATAGAATTATTTGTTGATTGACCAAAAAAAAGATTTTTTTTCATTTCTGTTAATAAGGATATTATCTTGATTATCATTTGGATTATTTATTTTTGATATTGTTGAAATAGTTGTTAAAAATTTACCATCTTCAATTCAAGTTCGAGTCGTTCGTACTGTATCATTTGCACCTAGAATTTATTTATTTAAAAAACAAGAAAAGAATTTCAATATGATTCATATAATTTCAATTCAATTAGATTTAACAAATTTTATAAATAATATTATTATTTTATTAATTTATTTAATATGTTAATTACTTGTTTATTTGAATAGATTAACTAACAACTATTTTACTAAATATTTATTTATTTCATATATTTACATAATATGAGAGAAAAAACAAATGTTTGAATAAATAAATAAATTTTATATTATTATATGTCAATATGATGTTGAATAATATATTCAATTAAGTTAAATAAAATTGGTGGAGATATAAAAATAGTTCTTATGTATTTATTTAATTGTAGACAAATATTCTTATTTGTTTTATATTATATAAAAGAGAAGAATCTAATAAATAAATTCTATTTCGATTAATTCAACTAAAATTTTATTTATTGGACTAGAATTTTTTAATGAAAATTTTTCAAATCTAATCAAAGATTTAATCCCAACGTAGATTTTATTAAAAAGAAAAATTCTATATCGAAAATTCAATTGAGAATTCGACTTCTGTTTTTTTCTTTTTGTTTTTTAATGAATTATCTTGTTAAGAATCGATATATCGTCTATATTTTAATTCGTTGTCGATTAAATAACGTATATATATTTGTTATTATTGAATATAATAATTAATATATAGTTATCATGGCCAATATTTATTAGAAATAATATTAAATAAATACTTAATTATACAATTGACAATAAATAATCAATAATAAAATAAAATAAAAAAACGAAGAAAAGAACAAAAGGTTACCTACTTGAATCGATGATGATAAAACATTCGATGTTGAATTTGTTTGAATTTTATTTGATGAATAATTAATTGAAGATATATTTACGTTAACATGTCCTGATTCAATATTTTGAAATGTTTTATTACTATAAGGAAGATCAATTAATTGATTTTCTTTTAAATTTTTATCTAGATTCGGAATGTTTAGAAATGTTTCTTTATAAAAACTAGTTATATCACCAATCATTATATATCCATCAATTAAATTAATTGTTCCAGCAGGTTTTGATGGTGTTAAACATGAATTTTTATCTTGAAAAAAAAAAAAGAATAAATATCTTTAATTGAATATAAATCTCATTTTTAACAAAATCATATTTGTTAATTGAACGAATAAAAACACTTCGAACTGTTTTTTATTTCGAATTTGGCATTGATTTATATACTTGAATTAATCGTGAACAAAATAATAATTGAGTATAATTTTTAAATAAATTCCAAACGATTTTTTCAAATTTATTTGATTGAGACCCGTATAATCGATAACAAATGAGATCAAGATGAGATAAGACATATTCATACAATTTGCGATAAAACATTGTATATGGACTTAATTTAATATGTTTTTTATCATTATTTTCAACAATTCCATCTTATTTACTTCGATTTATTGTCAATTTATTCTAAACAACAACATCGTCTGATTTTTTTTCTTTTTATTCTATTAATTCCTCTGATTTATTTTCATTATGAAAGTTAATTCAAATGAAAAATTAAAAAATTTTTGTTTTCTAAAATTCTATTCAACTTTTTAGAAAAAAAAAATGTTTTTTTTTTTTAAACGAAATATTTCAAGAATTAAATTGATATTATATTAATAAAGATTTATTTTAATTAGTTAACTAAGACAAATAAAATGTCTTTGGCTTATTCTATAATAATATTTGTTTGAATAAAAATAAAAATCTTCGATTAGATATTTTCCTTCGTTTTTTTTTTGTTAATTCGATTTTGAAAATTTTTGAGAAAAAAAATATATTCATTGAATATTGATAAAATCAATTAAACGAATTCAATATCAGAAGATAATCTTATTTATTGAAAATTTTCATTCAAAACAAAAACTTTTTCAACAAATCGATTTTAATCAAATTCAATCAACTTTTTTCTTTCTTAAATTAAATTTCAAGGGGTTCTACATCCAAAAATAAAGATTGACATCATAGGAAATTATTGTCATTTTTCTCTAATATCCTCTATAAAAAGTGTACTCTAGAAAGAAAAACAAGTGTTCGCCGTAGACAGGCTTTAAAATGGTTATTATTTATCGAATTATTTTCATTGTTTGACAAGCTTTTAGAAAAGGTCGACGTCAATTGATCATATTTCATAGAATTTCAGATGAGTTTATTTTCGTTGCGCTCGATTATGAAAAAGAAATAAATTCTTTTTAAATCGATGATATATATTATCAAATGATTTTTCATTGTTTTTTCATGATAAATATAGAAAAAAAGAAAAATAAAATATTCTAAGGGATCAATCTTTCTTGTTACTAGATCGAACTAAATATTTCACTGTTTTTAAATATTTATGAACAAAATTCTTTCAAAATAAAAATTTTTTTTTCAATTAAAATAAATCATATTCATTTTTTATGATTATTTGAAATTAATGAAAAAAGATAAATATATATGTATAATATTGTATTAAATAAATCAAATAATAAATCTTACTGTTAATTGAACTGTTGTATTCGATTGAAATGATTTTCTTGATACATTTGTTTTATTTGGTGATTGAATTGATGATATTGTTTTATATGATAAAATACCTTTTAATTCAATATCATTCTATAATGAGGATTTTGTTGAAAAAGTCATTGATGATAAATATTTAATAAATGATTTTGATTTACTTATTTGTGTACAAGTTTAAAAAAAAAATTGTATGATTTTTTAAAAGAAATACTCATCTAATGAATAAACATGTAATATCCAATTAAAATCATGATATTTATCCGAATGAGCATATAATACTAATAATTATTTAATATTAATTTACTAAAATAAATCCATTTATTTACTTATTTATCCATTTAAAAGAAAAATTGTTTATTGAAATGATTGTTGAATTTATTGTGAATTAAATTCATTTGAAATTAATCTG